TGGGGGTAGTGTTCGCTCTCTGGTTGTTTACCTACAGAAATGAAATCCAAGTCATTGCAACACTGAAGCCTGAGCCACGACAAATTGACGGCTCATGGTATATATATATTGTGAGAAGACTTGGCGATTCTGCCCTATAAGCGAAGTTAATCTACGTTGAAAAGCCTAGGTACACTGCACAGCTGTTTCGTCCTTATTGGGAATCATCTGCAATGAACATCTCATGAATTTCCAGGTTTCAAACCCACGACCTCCAGGCTAGAAGCTTGAATAGTTTGATCCTTTGCCACAAGTGGCTAATCACCAGTGTTAGTAACTCGCAATTAGACAAGACATGGCGCCGTTCATCCACATCACGTGGCCACACATGTTGATATGCTTCTTGATTGGCAACTTCTCAGATGGAATCTTCACTCACCGAATACATTTTATTCCCCCCTGACCTAGCTCTAAACTGTTGGTAGTATAAGGAGTATATATGAATAGAAAATCCAAACTCATACGGGCTTGACCGAGTTATGCCCGGAAGGGAATAACTCCAGAAAACTATTTGTGATTTTGCTGCGGACCAGTTCAGTACACCTTTCACAGGCTGTTCAAACTTAGATGATGAATCCGTGAGAAGCATAGAAATGGTTTCACCCCACTCAGGCGAATAGTAGAAGCAATCTGATCAACGAACCTGTACCAAAATACAGTAAACGCAAAATTAACTACACACAAACTTCGAGGGTAACATCTCATTGTAGACCACGAACAAAACTTTAAACTCCAGATTTTACCGCTTGAAATTTCTTGGCCATGGAGAAAAACTAGTGTTTTAACCAAGTGTAGCATGGGTCAAATTACTGGTAAAAGTTAAAATGGCTCTGAAAGCGAGCAGTGATGAAGGTGTGGTGGTAACTTTGTAGCCCTTGGGACTGACCAATCAAAAGTGAGCCTTGTATCGATATTTACTATAGTTCTAGCCCAAAAATTAATCCAGTCGTCTATTTCCACATGAGTCCCCAGAGCAGCTTATAATAGATAATCAATAGCTTGTCAGATAATACGACTTGCTAAACCGTCATGAACAGCTCTTCTAGAAAAAAATCGAAGCAAGGCGGTTGTAAATGAGGAATTTTGGCACAAAATCATTACAACAGTTGCCCAAAGTTGAACTCTTGCTTATCCAAATACGATATAAAGGTCTATGAAAATCCACCGGAATCTCACTGAGTTCTACTCTGTTTTCGCTTTTACCCGGATTAGGCATAGTCCATGGCATGTATATTAGTCATTTTCTGACTTAAGCGTTACCATAGATTCACGTCGCGTTTTTAACCAATTGTACCCTTCTTAGGAATGAGTCATCCGTGCAGTATTCAGGTCACATGGGTCTTACCGCGAGTACACGTTACTCGAAGGACTGGTCAACATTGGACCACGTGACGTGAACCGCGAAACCGAATGTTGTGTTGCTGTGCTGTATCTAAGCTTTAGTCATACTATTGATCGGTCACTCCTGACCAGCTGTAAACCAGAAGACTGAGGGTACAGATTCGTGAGAGGCGCAGTGCTGATTTGCAGTGTAGATAGAACAGGTGTAATTTGACTCTCGTATTTTTAATATATGCGGACTTCACCTACAGGACGAAATCTAAAATGAAGTTTATAAAATCATCCGCTTCATTCTCGGGAGAGATAGTCTACCACTGCGGGATTTTCACCACAATCTCCCTCTC